GATAAAAATTGTTTTCGAACCGTTTTTGGAGTATACAGTCCTTCTGGCTGATTGCTCAGTGTTTGTTCTTTTTTTTTTTTTTTGATTTAATGACAACAAGCGATTTTTACGAATCATCATTAGAACATTTGAAATCGAATGCCCGATGTTTAAATGTTGCTGAATAGTTTGAGATTTTAAAATGGCTTGTTTGGATTCATCATCAAAAGCCAACAATGGTGTATCATCGGTCTGTAGACATGCAAACTGCTTTGAATTATCTTGAGTAAGAACCCATTCACTTAATAAAATATTAACATAATCGTTTCCAATATCTCCACACTCTTTGCGAGAATCAAAAAGTTTGACATTAAAATTTTTTGATGTGGGTTTTTAATGATATTGCGAGCACCGCACATGCAAAGTCTGCGAGTTCAATACTTGAAAGCGCCTGGTGCAGCTGCAATATATTGGTATCTACATGTACATATGTAGTCAATATGGATATAATTTATTAAACTAAACTTTGTTTTAGATAATATACGTCTAACGACAAGGTGCATATAATGTCTAGTGGTTTACAGAAGTTTTTTGCTACGAAACATCAGTTTTTAGTCAGCATCAAAGTCATGGAAATACATAACCATGTTAAGTGTGAAGAGACAAAGAATTAAATTTGCACACATTGTTGCCGCTATATTTGCTATATAGAAAAAAAAAGAATCAGTTCCGCAATACACATGGGTTATCAATTCGGTGGATGTAGAGTTTTCAGCTTCGTCGCTAATAAACCGACCGTTGGAATCGTTGGATAGCGGTGGTGTTGGGAGTCAGATAATGTGTGGAGGTGAAGTGTGCGGTAAAAACGTAAGTAATTCATATATAATAAGAGAAGGTTGGCATAAGCTGGGATTTACGCTCATTGGGAAGCGACACTGATGTAGAATCATTTTTAACTCTATGAAAGCTGACAAACTGAGGCGTCATTTGCGTGTTCCGGTTAAAAACTCGTAAATGGTAAACACAATAAGCAGCCGCCTTACTGTATTGTTTTACAGGAAAATGTAAACGAAATCATGTGATTTTAAACCCGAAATAAAAAAATTAAGCTAAACGTAAACAACAAATTTATAAAAAATAACAACAAGAAAGTTAATAAGATGAACATAAATTAGATAAATGATTTCTAAATTTAAAATTAATTGCCTTGTTTCTTCTTCTTCTATTTTCTTTTTGCTTTATTTCTATGTATGCATGCAGAACCATACAATTTGTCATCTTTAATGAGGTTTTGTAAAAAGTCGGCAAAGTTGAAATCATAACGCAATGCCTCCTAGTGTCAGCCCCCAAACAGATTCAGAATCACTGAAGAGCAATCTGCAACCTTTTTTGTACTGCTTGACATTTGGTATTTCGTAAATTCAGCTACTACAAATTGTCACAAAAGTTTATTATATCCACTTGGTTTTCACAAACTTTTAATCTTTATTTTTCTTCCTTATGGAGCTTTAATTAATTCGGTTTTCAATTAGCCTAAGATTACAACACTACTAATTTTTTGACTTAAAACCTAACACTCTGTCATCCGGTTGCATATAAACTCTGAAGCGTATAAACGTCAATCTGGACGTAGAAGCCATATTTTATTGGGCTTGTTCATATATACGCTATATCCAAAAAAGGGGGTCCTCTTTTTTGCTCTAAAATGTAAAATAGTATGAAATGCTCTTTGAACAGCGTTTCGATGACTTCAAACGTAAGCAAATATGTAGATTCGATCTCGATGTATTTGCTGAATATTGCCTATTCAAATTTGGAACTTTTCGGAATACATTTATATCTCCAAAGCAAAAAAAACCATTAAAGATAACAAGATATCTACGTACATTTTTTAGTCCTTTATTCATCACCAATCTAATTACATGACGTTAGCCATGGACTTATAATTTAAATTTATGAATCATTGATATTTTTTTCCTGTAATATTACATACAATAATAACCCTTATTTAAAAGTGCATAAAGCAAATAAAATAACAGTGAACAGTGCATGGTTTTTCAATTGTCCTCTTCAGATTCGATAATCTCTACCACTAAATCATCAAAGTCTGTTTCTTCAATGTCCACGTTAGACTTTATTTCATTTTCCGGGCTGTTTACCGTGTCATTTTCTTCGATCTGTTCGATCAGTACCATTGCATTACGTTCCTCTTCAATAGGTTCTTCATTATTGACAATCGGGAGGAGGTAACCATCGTTAGGATTGGGTCCATTAGAGTCAGAAGTTGGGGGTAGCACAGGCTGGGTACGACTCACCCAGACCTCCAATTCCTCCGGTGCCACCTTATGCATTGAAGTATAATGGCGACGCAAAGATGACCTCATCAGTAATCGGCCCGGTGACGGGCATAGCTCACACTTGTAGGTGCCATGACGTATTGGATGCTTTTCTTTATTGTGGTGTAAGACATCTTTATAGCGCTCAAACACCACATGGCAAGTCAAGCAGCTATATACCTTCTCACCTGGTCGCCGCAGCGAGTTTCGCCACAAATATCCTTTTCGATATTCTTCGCTAAAGTGTACTAATCGCATTCCTTGTGGATTCGTTCTACGCGCTAATTCCTCAAGCGTTCCTTCTTGAGCTAAATGATGCCTTTGTTGATGACGTAGCAAATAACGTTGATATTGTGATTTATGATTGCACACCACACAAGTATACCAACGCCTTATATTGAAATGCTTTGTTTTCTTGTGTATCCGAAACGTACTTCGCGAATAGATGGCCTTACCACAAAATTCACAGATGTACGGTGCTGGTTGACAGCGTGATGAATGATTATGATTGTCTAGGGCTCCTTTGGAGTAAAACATTTTTTCACACTTTTTGCACTGGTACTGCGGTGGCTGATGCCGTAATTTATGCTGTCGAAAAGCATTCTTCCTGTATAACATTTTGCCGCATTCATCGCATTTATATTCTTCGCGCTCAGCAATAAGCTTAGGTTTAAAACCTGTATTTAGACTCTGCGTGCAATGAATAGCTTCTATATGCTTCTGAAGGAAATAATTTCGTGTAAACATTTTTTCGCATAGTCCGCATTTAAATTTTGGAGGCAAATGTGTGTATTTATGTGCGCGAAATTTTCTCCATAGGGTATATTCTCTACCACACTGATCACATTTATATTCGCCTTGCTCCGGTTGTTTTTCAGCTCTCTCTTGCATAGCGATTGCTTTCCTGATTACAATGGAGTTTCGTCTAGCATTGGCTAAATTAGTTTTGGTTATGTTTTCCAAAGATTCTTCTATGCATGTTAATTTGTTTGTCTCCACTTGATTAGAGTTTTCACTTTCAATTTGACAGTTCCGCTTTTTCAAGTCCGCTACTGTATATTTCACCCATGGCGGATAATTGCAGTTTTGATTGAACCGCCGGAAAACTACTGCATCTTGATTATTTTTTATTAAATCCAGGTTGTATGGTAGACGAGTCCTCTCTAAAAATTTTTCACACATTTGAAAATATTTAGGGAAACGGTGTTTAAACGGTTCATTTTGAATATTTCTCTCATGTTTCCTCATTTTATATGCAGTGCGGGAGAACCAATCATTTACACGCTGTATACTGTGTCGCATTTCAAGGTCTGTTATGTCCAAGTGATACTTTTTATTAAGCATGGAACACATTTTCATAATTGCTACATCATATTCAGTCCTGGTACAGACGGCCCGATTCGAATAAAGCACTGGGTATTTTTTCAAATTTTCTAAAAATTCTATAACTACCGAACGATTGGTCAAACCGAAGAGTATCTAAATGAAAACAAATTTTAAGAATCCGCTTATTTTAATTTATTTTTCTTTGTTTACCCCACAGCCACGACTGGGCTTTGGCACATCATCTTCGTTTTCATCATTTGAAGGCATTTCATCGTCGGATATTTCAATGTCGTTTGGAGTGCTTGAGATCTTGAAATAATTTTCATATAACAAAGTGCATTAAAAGATTGCAGATATAGCTAATTTTATCATCTTATTTGTGCTAAATCCCCATACTAGTGTTTTTATACCCATCACCGAGGGATGAGGGGTGTATTCATTTTGTCAAAACGGTTGCAACACACAGAAGGGAGCTTCAGAGATCCCACAAAGTATATATTCTTGGTCAGCATTGAATTCTGAATCGATTTAATTATGTCCTTCTGTATAATATTTGTTGTAAACATTCTCCTGGCCTCAAAAATGCAGCTATCACCATTAATTTGGCAGAAACATTGGAAGTACTTGCACATAGGTTGGTATTGAACATAGGCCAAATGGATCGAAGGACATGCTTAAAGCCCCACGTAAACTAAGAACAACTCTGGTTTTCAAAAAGAATAAAAAACTGTTTTTTGATCATTACTCATAAACTATAGCAGACAAATATAAAAAATATCAAAGCAAATCAAAATTTAATTTTTTCAAATTTTTCAAAGGATACGCCTATAAATTCGCATGCCTATGCGACATAAACTTATATTTTGAAAATAGAAAAAATCGGCCACGCCCATTCCATATTATAGAGGACGAAAATGTAATTTCTTTTACTTTTTTAGGATAACGGTGATGGGTATAATAAGTTCAGTCACGACCGAATATATTTTTCTTCCGTTTTTTGAATGCAATAAGAATTTCCGAATAGCCGTGCTTACCGAATCGTCTCGAACGTTCTCACTTTGGTCAATTTCATATTCTTCACGCGCAGCCAACTCTTCATTGCTTAATTCACAAATGTCTTGAGCAGCTGGAAGATCCTACTTACAAATAAGAATGAAAATTTAATCAAAGTAACTTACTCAGATATTCAATATTAACGCACATTTGTTTTTGCTTTAGAAATTTCTAAAAACTCACTACCCTCCTCAAGACAAATTAATTCATCTCCAAAAGAGTCATCTTCACTAAATAATTGCGCTGCTGCTGCTGCATCCTTATTGCATTCAGATCTTGTCTCGTCGTCGCTAGACTTTTGAAATGACTTCGCAAAACTTAGAGAATCCTAAATGAGACATGTTTAAACACTACGAAGACATTGTTAAAACAACTTACTCTTATTAAAAGGTCTTTTAGCGGTTGCTTAAAATTTTTCCCATTCGTATCGTTATCGAAGTCAACTGCCTCTGTAAACGGACTTAAAGAATTCTAAAAAAAGAAGAGAAATAAGGGACGCCAGGCATGTTAGAGATTCCACAGATTTTGTTTTCAGCCAATTATATTATAACAAAGGAAAGAATGTAATTTCTAATCTTTTAACTAAAACATACTAAATGTGCCATACATCTTAAATAAGCTGCGATTAAAAACTAGTAATATTTATCTTGGCATCCCACTTGTGTCCCTTTGCCAATTTTGACAACGAGAATTTTCTGTGTTAAAATATATAAGACGTTCATTCACTCTGAAGTTGACCAATATCTAATTATTTGTCTCTCAGTTTTTAAGATTTCTTACAACAAAAATAAATACTTTATATTTACATTTATCGCATCACGAAGAGATTTCATCTGCCGCTTAGTAGAATGCAGAGTACACATTGAATTTTACCAGAAATTGAAGCACTGACGGGTAAGTGAATTTTTACATAGATGACGAGGAACAAATATCAACGCGATCAGAGGAGGTATTAGAGGTCTAATGATGAAAAATGCGGAATAATGAAAATTATCCTAATGAGAAAAAAATAAATGGCTAAATGGACTACCCATTAATATATAAAGGAAATGCTGATATATCAGCTAATGAAATTACAAACCAAAAGAGAGATTTGGAGATTATTTTTATACGCTGATTTTTGAGTTTTAACACTATCGGATTGCTAATCAAGAGTTCAATTCTTTTTTTACGGAATTTAAATTAAAATAAAAATTATAAAATGGAAGTAAAATTGGAGATGCTACCTAGAAATTCGTCATCATATAACATAACATCATTAGCAATAAGTGAAATAAAACAATTCCAAGTATTCACCTATGGTTTTACAACTACTTACATTACTTGTTGTACAAAAGTCATCCATTGGATAGTCTTCGTCAGTTCTTTCATCAGCCTCGCTCGAAATAATCTAATAAAAAAGTCTCATTATGCTTTTTTAAATACATTAAAAACCAAGGCATACATTAGTCACATTACTCTTACAAGCTTTAAAAAGATAGTCGAAGTTATCAGCTTTTATGAGAGTTTTCGAAGATTTAGGAAGGTCTAACATAGTTCTCTTCGCAATCACGGAGAAATCTACTACCGGATGCGACTCATTAACAGTTTTGCCATCACGTAAACATTTCGCATGCATCGGTGAAGGTAGATTATGATTGTATAATTCATTTAGATCGGCTTCGTCATAATCACTCGAACAGTCTTTTTTTATATCATTGTTTTTTAACATTGCATAATCATGATCCAACGAAAAAGCTTTCTCTTCAATATTGTGTTGATATTTTACGTGTTCCAAGAATTCCGGCCAGCGCTCTAAATGATAGAAGGCTGAACAATAAAAACAATTTAGATGAAAGTGATTTGTATCCACTAGACCGCAAACACCTTCAAAGGAAAGACTAGAAAATAAATAATTTCTTTTTAGTTTTTCGAATTTTTTGATATTTGTGTGTGAATGCATCAAAATATTTGTAAAGAAGGGAATACGTATTAGGAATGGTATAAGAAATCGTACCATTAAAATGAGCGCCCGCGCTCGTAAACTTACTCTGTTTGCACCTCATTACACTTTCTTCCCTCTGTCAGGTTTTCCCTGCTTTCCTGAATTGGTCGTGCTCTTGTAGATACACTATTGTTGTATTTTTCTGCTCCCTCGGAAGTCTGCAAATCAAGAGGATTAAATTTTTCCAGCGGCTGCTGAACAATCAAGACACTGGGAGTTTTAATAGATATAGGATTAATTGGTTGTAAAGACCCAACATTTACTGTACGAACTGATTTAACTGGATTGCTGGCATTTAAAGACACATTTGTAAGAAATGGAAACAAACAAATTTTTCTTAAACTTTATCTAATTTAAATAAATTGTTATAATGACATTATGTGTCATGTTTCTTTCTAAAGTGCGCTTTATTTTACTCAACGCTAAAAATATAACTTACTCAGCGACTGCATTGAAGTTTTTTGGTTGATCATTTATTTCATTAGCAGCCTGGGGTATCATAGGTAGTCTCCGTAGCAAAACCTTTAGATTTTTTATTTTCTTTGACCACGAAAAACAAGTAAAAATAATTACGCTTTAGAAATGTGATATATCAATATTGCATCTTACCGGATGCGTTCTCAAGTGGATGTCATTTTCTTTAGTATTATACGTAAGCGTAGACTGAGTTTGTGAACTATTTGTTCTTTGGTCTGTTGTTCTGAATGACGTTGAAAATGACTTTCCTTCTTCCCGAAATCTGGATAATTGTACATTCGATGGATCGGTAGGTAGGTGGGGATTTTTGTCAAGATTTGGGAATATGGGCGAATGCGAGCTTAAACAATCCGACGCATGGTTGTTTGGGACTAGAGACACGCCTTTGTTTACGACATTTGTTTTTAAAGTAATGCTGTGAACGTCTTCCAGCTTAGCAGCTACTATTTTACTTTGGCTGCGTGCAGATTTGAATTTATTTGTTGTGCCCTTTACAGTATTAAAAGGGGCGAGGTATTTATAATAACCTCTTTCATCTTTCCTAAAAAAAGGCAAATCTTGAATTGTTTATTGTGAGCGCTTTCCACAATACATTACATACCCTATAAATTTCAATGTTTCTCTTAATTCTGTAGGTAACCTCAATTTTTGGTCGACCATTATAAAACGCTTTGGCGTTTCACCATCAATTGTTAACGGAGATTGGCTTGGAGGTCTGCAACTTGGCAAATTGGTTATCTCAGTGTTCTGATGTATGATTTTAATACGCATTTCCTTGTCTTCAAAACCTGGATTGTTGTTATCGTTAAGGTTCTCCCGTGACTTAGACTCATCATTCGACATACCACATGCGGACAAATCAATCGTGTTGACACTAAATGGTAGAAAATTGCAATACATTGCACCCAACCCACCAAAAGTTTAATTGAAATTAGAAGGCATTAAAAATTCAAAAAAATACATTACTAATAATATCACATTGGTGCGTGCGGATAGGAAGATTTATCCGTTTATTTTGCTTTTAGTTCTTGTTACATTTTATTTACGTTTCCGAATCTTTTTTCGGTGCAGCCAATTTGTTTATTAGAAACAAGCGGTGTTTTGTATTCTTACCTGCTTGTCGTCATTTTATAAAATTTTGTCTAACAATAATTATTAAGTTGTATTAATAAACAAAGTTAATCCCAAAATTTTGTAGAACTCAAAAGCAGCATGGATCACAATTCTACCATTTAAAAAAATGGCGGACCTTACAGCCATATGAGAAAATACTCTGTTTAAAGAATAACCTTATTGTAAAATAACATTCCTATAAACACTGGGATTAGAGATGGTAATAATATTAATATTGATTTCGGTAGACGTATTCGATAATAACAGGGTAAATACGTTCTTCTATCGAAAGACTGTAATGCTTTTGACAATTCGAAATAATCGAGGAGAATGTTTGAAAAATTAACATTTAAAATAAAATATGGGCACAAAATTTGCAACTTGGAAAAACGATTGTTACTTTTAATGGAATTAAGTATGGGTGGCCCACGAACTGAACAACCCTTGCCACTAATTGTGCTTGGAGTTAACTAGGTATCATTTTTCAGTTTCGACTTTTTTGGCTATATATATATTATAAAAGGCGCGAGAAACATTGTCTCAAATCTGTAAAATCAAGCGAAAGCAACACAGCTCCCGATTTGTGTTAGAGTTGATCGTTCTGAGCTAGAATTGGTTGTTTAAACCTACATTTATAAAGAAAACAGCTGTAAATTGAAGATAAAATGAACTCCCAACAAAATTGTTTATTTGCAGACGGCTAAACCAAACCAAAACGGAAATGTAAAATATAAATAAATGAATGCTTTTTTTTGCTTTTTATTCTATTTTTACTCTTGTCTACTTAAAACTCTTAACTCGTCAAAGTTTGAAATCAATTGTGTATATTCATTTTTCGTGTATATAAAGGTTAGTATTAAATTCATTTTTCGGAAATATGAATTAAGCTTTAAAATTTTTCAATGTCGAAGGCCTACTTCAATAGAAGAGCGAAAAAGCAGATACCAACCAAGGAAGATGTGGAAGTCTGCATATGTTTATCTAGTCCTTCACAACATTTGCGTATACTGTAAAAGCAAAGTACGGGAATTCAGAATTTAACTTCTGCAACTCGCGTATTTTATTTTGACGATGGTGTGGACGTTTCGCTGGAGTTCTCCCAGTTAGGTGTGGCGAACAGGTAAGCAAATAAAACCCGACATATCTTCTGCGTTTTGAAATTAAATTGTAATCAAAGCAAATATAGGAGGAATAAATTTGCTTTTATTAAGATTAAAAAGACGAGTTTATTTTCAGAAGCTGATTAAAAAGAAAAAATTGCATTTTAAAACATTGTACATTCTTTGCAGGTTAATACAAAAATATATAAGAAAAAAATAAAGGAACAAATTTGAAAGTTCAAGCTCGCAATAAAAATAATAAATGAAAATAAAACCAAAAATTGAGTTAATTTAAGCTGAATCTTTACTTTCACAAAAAACCGTTCTTTTCCTTGCTAGTTGTAATTTGCAGCGATGGAACGAGTTCAAGTCATCTCTGTTTTGCGCTACGAACTGTACCATCCGCCCATTGCATCGTTGACCACTCTCAACGTGGTCCAAGCAAATCCAAGATATCAAAGCTGATATTCTTTCCAAAGTTTTCTGTATTTTGATCATAGAATAAATACCTAGGCAGGAATAATTTCTTTGTTATTAACTGTGTGGTAAAAAAATTAATGCATACACTTTCTCTCGTTTCTTACTTAGAATGTTGTTTTCTGCGTCGCAATCAATCGCATGAAGGCTTCCAAATATGTACAAAAAGCAAATGCAAAGTAAACCAAAAACTTTACAATTACACCCACGGCTGTGTTCCACTGCTAGGAAATTTCCATAGATTTTCTTTTTTGCGTCGCTTAAACATTATATATTTATAATCAAAGTTGACTACACTTTATTACCCAGAACTCAATGGAATTTCAGGTCATTTTATCCCGCATAACATCTAATTAAACATTATTAAACATTGTTAAACTTTCTTCAACAGTCTTAAACACTTCAGATAACGACTATACTTTAGAGACCTCAAACCACGTAAAACGATCAAGTTAGGAACCAAAATCGAGATATTTATCGGACACGGATACTTAACATTTAAATCCGAATTAGCAGTTGGAAAATTTCTTTTGAAGCATTGAATAAAGAGATTTGAGGTTTAGATATCATCAGAGGGCGCAGGACGATTGAAAAAAACTTGCGAAGGATATATGGAGATTTTTTTTTTAAGTTGACAACCATAAAAAAATATTTAGGATTAACAACCATTGAGGATGTTATGAACTGAATTTATCTGCAATAAAATTGGTGGTTGAATAAATTAAAAATTGCAGCAGACTAGGCAAATAGTCGTAAACAGAATTACCTTTCATAAATTTTTTGAAAAGTTGGTTTTTCCTATTTTTGGAATGTTTAATTCTCTTGTTAAACCTCTGGTTTCGAGGGCGTTGTTGTTTGATCGGCAATGATGCAGAAATATCTACGTTTAACATATTATACATTGATGACAGCTAGGTTTTAATATCCCCAGCAAAGAGATCGAACATAATTTGTGAAACATCAAATTTAGGCAGTAAAGTGTAAGTTTTATTAAAATCAGAATGCTTTAGGAGGAAGGTAGATTTAGCATGGACCATCATGCCGGTAATAAAAGGAAATAAAAATTTCTGTATCCTTCAGTAAACTAAAAGTTTGACGTCGATTTACAACTATTTTCTGAAAATTGGCAAAGCAAACATCTACTGGTCTGCCATTACAATTAGGAGTATGGTCATATTGATGTACTTAAGCAAATTAGGATCAAATAATTCATTAAAAAACAGAATAGCTCTGTGAGATTTTGAAGTGCACAGTCAAAACTGTCACTGTAATACCACGTGACTTGTGGCAAATTGAGGTCTCCCAATGTTAGTTCCGAAAATTTACTCCCTCGAAAGTAAATTTTGGCTATGAATAGGAAGAGCCAATTCAATGAATTCGAATTTACAGCGAAAAGCAAAGTAATTCCTATCAAGCCTGTGGGTCTCGTTTGTGTGGACTTATGGCAAGAGCAATTTCCGTTCAATTTGCCGTGTAAAAAACTTCAAAACTCTCATTGTGTTCATTTTCACTGATAAGCCATTCTATCTGAAATGGACTCGCGCCGGCTTTCGCATAATTTGCTCCAAAAAATCCTTGCGATAGCGTGGTTCTTCATTGCCGCCGTATCTCCCGGCCGAATGGCACAAATCTGTGTTAAAAAAATGATCGATTCAATTACCATCTGGAGCGAACCGGTTAACCTTAATCCAAATATTCTTTACTTATACCGCTATTACGACTTTTTTATATAATTATTTTTAATTAATTTTTTATTTGTATTTCTTGTTTACACATGACATTTAGGTAAAAGATGTTTCGGGTTTATATTGCATCTTTACTTCCTTTTATTTCTTTATTAATTAATTAATTTATTTATTTATTCCACTTATACAAGAAACTCAACTAAAACAAATTGACAGTCGAGTTCAAATGACTCTTAAGGTAAATCTTAAATTAATTAATATTAACAAAACTCAGTATAAGGACAATAAAACAAATAAGAAGAAAAAAAAAGAAAAAAGCATGTACACAACTAGCATAGAGCCACACCCACAACCGGTACAGGACCAAATTGCAAGTGAACCCCTAAGCCATCGCAAACATGCATAAGCTTGGCAACCGATAATAGTTAAGAACAATTAATTTTCGACTCATAATGACTTTTTATTACTATTATTATTATAATTTTAGACTAATGAAATGACTTTTTAACGTTAAAAGTTAGTTCAAGTACGCCGTAGGTATTAGGCAAAGTTGCTTTAATGGACTTGAAAGAGTCCGTTAATGAGAATAAGTGATAGACGTCATTTAGGTTCTTGCAAACAACTCTGAGCGGGTTAAACAGTTCGTAATTATATTTGCATTGACTAAGCTTTGTCAAGAAAAAGTGCCTAGAGAAGCGGTTAGGGACACTAAAGCCTATCTCACGAAGTAATGCGGGCGAGTCAATTGTACCATTTATTAATTTGATTACGAAGAACAAGCCAAAAACAAATCTACGTTTCTCCAGTGACGGTAAGAATAGCAGAAGTAGCCTATTTTCAAAGGGTGGAAGAGTGGCAATCGGGTCCCAATCCCAATTCCTAAGGGCAAACAACAAGAATTGCTTTTGAATAGATTCAATTGAATCTACATAGCACCTATATGAAGGAGACCACAGAACAGAGGCATACTCAAGTATAGGTCTAACCAAACACATGTAAAGCCTTTTCTTAATGTAGGGATCATCAAGCCCTTTGGACCACCATTTTATAAAACCAAGCGCGGATCTAGCTTTGCTCATCGAGAGCTCAATACTCAAGTTGAAACGTAACCTATGGTCAAATAGAACGCCCAAATCTGTGAACGAATCGACGTCCTCCAATACTGAGTAATGAATGACTTCCTTCTTGAGAAAAAAAGCTTCTTACATTTATTTAGATTAAGTTTCAGAAGAGTCATTTTCAGATAGAACAAAGTTAGGAATTGAAATCAAATTAGAAATCGGATATGGATAGTTTGCTGATAAATCAAAATTGGCAGTTGAAAAGTTCTGTCGGAAGTATTCCGCAAAGAAATTTGAGGTTTCAAAATCATCCGAGGACTCGGAGCCTTTAAAAGACAGATGCGAGGGATTTATGGAATCTTTTCTTTTGGAATTAACGAACTTAAAAAAGTATTTAGGATTAGCAAACAAAGAGGATTTAATGAACTGAAGGTATCTGCAGTAATAATGATGGTTGAGGCAGTTAAATCTATGCCTCGCCACCGAGTAAGCGACATAGTCGAGCGCAGAGCCACTTTTCGAAAATTTTTTGAAAAGCTTGTTTTTCCTATTCTTGTAATATTTAATTGTTTTATTAAACCACGGGGGCACTTGCTCCTAGGACGGGAGTGGTTGATCGGAATGGACACAGAAATGGCTTGATTTAATTTATTGTGGAACGACGACAGTAAGCTATCAATACGTCCCACTGAGAAATCAAGCACAATATGAGAAAGATGTGATTTTAGCATGGAAACATTGATTTTATGTAAATCATAACATTTATATGAAAAACTTGAATTTGGAACGTTATAAAAGTTCAACGAACCCACCTGCTTGTAATGAAAAGAAATACCCA